TAGGCTCACGTTTAAGGAAACTAAAAAAGAACACCAAATGACTTGGTGGAAAGGGGAAATTAACTGATAAATTTATTGATAAACTGCAGAACTATTATGGGATTGCCATCCGAAGCAATGTTGGATGCCTCGAAAAAATGTAATCTGCTGTAATAGCTGCCTTCTTTCACTGCTGCTCTAGCAATCAAAATCCCATGCATGGACAATGTCCAACAGGGAAAGATAGCTGGTACAAGTATAAACAAGCATTATGTGATGGTAAATTATATGTAGACAAAACAGCAGGCCTTTCAAATTCAGTGATTAAAGTGATAAAGTCTACTTATTTAGCACTTTGTGATAAGGAGTTGCTAAAAAAAATGCCTTCATGGCATGACTCAAAACAATAATGAAAGCTTTAATAATGTATTGTGGTCTGTTTTGCCGAAAGAAATTTTTGTTCATAAAAAAAACTTTGTTTTTGGGTTCACACATTGCTGTCATCTTATATAATTCTGGTTATTTAGGGCTGTTGCCTGTATTTAATTATTTAGGTATAGAAATTGATCTAATGACACTTAAAAATTATATGGGAAATGACACAGAGAGAATTCAAAAATCGAAGCGCCAGTCATTACCTTCAACAAAACTCACCAGAAAAAAGCAAAAAACCAAAAAAAGAAGTCCAAATTAGCTAAAATTGAAGCTAAAGAGGGCTTAAGCTATAAATATGGGGAGTTTTGAAAATGTTTTTTAAGTAGAAAAGTAATTATTTAGAGTTAAAATTATTAAATGTGTTTTACGAGAAACTGTTATTCAATATTTTTCTTCATGATAAAGCTTACTACACAAAATATTTTTAAGATACTAAATCTAAATTTTCAGAACATGTTTTATGTAGTTCTATCTGTGTTGTGAATCAAAATCTAATCTCTGTGTATATATTTATGTACTTAATTGCTTTTTTATGGGAAAAAAAGCATTAATTTTTTAAAAAATTGAGTTTTTGCTTAAAATTTGGCATATTTAAAAAACTTCCAAAAGCATTACAAATTTTTTGATTCCTATCACAGATAAAGATGTTATTTATGTACTGTATAAATATTATTTGAATACATTTATTAGAATTTTGTGTACAAGATTTGTCGTAACTGCAATTTTTCACCAAAATTTCGCTAAAAACGACAATTGTTATAGTATACAAAACTCTCCAGAAAACAACAAAAGGGTAAAATAAATGGCCAAATCAGTTTTACATGAAGCTAAAAAGAGCTTGAGCTATAAATATGGAGAGTTTAAAAAGTGTACAATTATATAGTAGAAAATTTTTCATTTTGTATTAAAATCTTTAAATGCATTTTCTGAGAAACTATGTTTTTCAATTTTTTTCTTCACGGCACAGTTCACTACA